AAAAATGCTAGGGAAAACGTACTGAACTTTTTGGAGGAACAAGATATTTTTTGGAATAATTAGTTCTGCAGAAGTTATTTCTGTAGAGTGCCACATCAGAGCCAGCAGGTGACATAGTGGGTAACGGCCTTGAGCCTTTGTACAGCTCGCCAGTCACAGCTGTGGGAGGCCGTTTGTCAGGGTCTCCTCCCGGAGGGTGTATGTGTGGGCATAGCTCATGGGGTGGGAACGGTGGCTTCTTAAAACATCATGTGGTTCAAATACATTATTTTCTGGATGAGCAACTTCATCCTTAGATAGAAACCTAGGAAAAGTGAGGTTGGATGAACTTGAAAATACCATCTGTAAACATCATTGATTTCCATGACTTAACATCTTTAACTGCAAAACTAATGCATATTTATGGTAGAAAATGAAAATATAGTTCTTAACTACGTACCCTTCTATATGTGTATTTAGAAATTGTGTAAATACTATGTATAAAGTATGAATATATTTAAGTAGTCCTTACCCTATTGATACCTTATAGCCCTGTGGTGGCAAACTAATGGTACCTGTGTTGTTTTTCTTTTAAGATAAAACATGTTAATGTAGAGTTGTTTCTTCTAAATTAAAAATCAGTATTCAGGTTTAGTTGTAGTCTTGGCACTTTGGGATAAGCATGTAGGTTTAGGATTGCAGTTTGAGCACTCATCTCTAAAAGGTTTGCCATTACTACCTCCTAATTTAACATTTTGGCTTACTCTGTTTTTTTGTTTTTTAAAAGTAATTTGATCAGGGCCGGGGATTGAGCTCAGTGGTGCCACACCTACCTGGCAAATGCAAGGTCCTAAGTGAGTTCAATCCCTGGTACTAAAAAAATATTTTTTTGTCATACGATATATACCTTTTATACTAGTCTATAAAATAATATTTACATTTCTGTGTTGTATTTGCTCTTTGTAAATTACTTTAATGTCTGCATTATGTCTTTAGAAAGCTTGGTATGCCTCTCTTGCACTCCATGCACTTGTATTTATTTGACCACTCATTTGTAGGTTTTTTGTTTGTTTTCTTCTATTGGTGTTAAATATGAGCAGTCCAGTTAAGAGCCCTTCTCAGCTCCTTTTTTTGTACTGGGATCCAACTCAGGACCTTGTACTTGCAAGGCAGGTGGTGGCACTACTGAGCTTTCTCTGGCCCTTCAGCCCTCTTGATCCCATCACCTGCTCTCCACAGCTTCAACTGTCACTTCAGCCACCCTGAGAACTTCGGCTCCACCTCTAGCCCCTGAATCTGATGGCTGCTGAAGGGCTCCTTGGATGTCCTGGAGGTGTCGCCTAGACAGCTTGTTCAAAGGTTCCTCATCTCTCTGCAGTGGCTTGTCTTCCACTGTCCCGTCTCTTAGTCATGTCTCTTAGGAGTCTTGCATCCTAGATTTTCCCTTTCAGCCCGTGTTAATACCTGAGTTATTAACAAAACAAAAATTCATACAAAAAATTCAAGTTCAGGATTGGAGCATCCCCCGAGCATGAGACATTGATTAAAGCCCTGCAGGTGGAATAGTGAACAACGCTGAGCCCTGTTCTTGTGGAGCTAACATTCTGATTGGAAAGACAGGATAGATAGGAAATGCCAAAAGGTCAGGTGAAGATGCTAGGGAGAGAGGTAGAAGGTGCTCTGCTATTACAGGATGGCACAGGGACCTAAATAAGGAGAGGTAACAAGCCGTGCCAGGTCTGGGAGGAGCCTCCAGGAAAGGATAAACAGAACAATTCCCAGAGTGGGAAGAAAAAGAACTGCATTGGTAGGAGATAATACTGAAGTAGATATGGGAGTGCGATGTGTGGCTGCTGAGGGCAGGATGTAAGGACTCTGGATTTTATTGTGAGCAGAATAGAAAGAGGTTAAGAGCGATTCCATGGCTGGATTGGAGGGAGCAGTGGTGGAAGCTCAGAAAACCAGTTGAGTTTTTTCTAGTAGTTGAGTAAGAGATTGTGATGGTTTAGATGGTTAAATATGGTGTGGAAGAGGTGATGAGAAGTGCTTGTGTTTTGGATTTATTTAAGCAACAAAATTTACTGACATTTAGATGGAAATGTAAGAAAAGAAGTCAAGGGTGTCTCCTAGAGTTTTGGTCCAAGCATTTGTTTAGACAGGAGAAACACCTGACTGGACTTAAGTAGTGTATTTAATCTTTCTGTCCTTCCCTCTGTTCATGGTCAAGGTAGCTTCTTACAGTACAGATCTTAAAGCAGTTTGCTTCTGGTAGCCCTTGACTCCTCATTGCCTACACACAGAAGAAGGGTGAAGTCTGTTCATTGTGTAAATTAATTTGCAGATGTCTTAATGAACTCATAGGATGAAGCAGCTCTCATCCTTATGTGATGGTATTTTTTAATTGTACAGTAGATACAGTGTGGTAAACAAAATAATTTTAAGGGATCCTGTATTAGGAGGAAAAGGTGAGACTACTAGTTGGGATTTGGCACCAAAAAGACACTCTTGCACTGTGTGCAGTTCCTGCTGTGGTCACACCAGTTCAACTCCAGTTAAAATACTCAGATGCGTGTGTGTGCTTCTGTGAAGGGTATGATCACTTCTACTGAAGAGTTGGTCAGCCCGGTGACCGCACGTTCGTGTGTGTGTGTGTGTGTGTGTGTGTGTGTGTGTGTGTGTAGTGCAGATGCTGGATTACAGCGATGGCCACATCACACAGAGGTGTCTGTCTTCTTAAATTTAACAGTCCAGTGGTGGTAAAGTACCTCTAAAATAGCCGCTTTCCACAGATGAAACACACATATTCTGCTAAGAGTTTCTATATGTTTGGTTTTGGAATTTGTTAATTATTATCTTAGAGCTGGGGCTCCTGAATACCAAGATTCTAATGAAGTTGTTATCCCTTTGGTCAAGTTGGGATTCACCTTCAGGCTGTCTGATCCCAGAGCCTTAATCACTGTGCTGTATAATTTATGATCTTATGATGATGATAAATCATAAAATACATGTTAATGGAAATAAATACAATTTTCAAGTTTGAGGGAATTTTAAAATTAAGAGAAATAGCAAGAACCTCTTCTCTGATGAATGTACTGGTTATCTTTTGGCTTTCTATAAGAGATCACATAGTTTTGCTATTATTTTAAATTTTAAGTACATGTAGGATGTGCTAAATTCACCAGACAGACTGGGATGAGATTAGAGGCTGCTGCTAAGTGGCCTTGCAGTAGAGCACTGAAAGATACTCATGAAACACAGGGCACGTGCCATTGGACTCCAGGTGCAATGCATTCTCATTGCAGATAGGATTTAGGTTTTAAAGGCAAGGCAAGATGAAGTGCATGCAGTTAAAGTTACCTTGGAAAATCCCATTTCTATTGGCCTTTGCTTCTACCACTCCACCAGGCCACCTTGATTATAGAAATCATCTACTAACAGTTCTGTTTCCTTGCTGAACTCTTCTGTTGTCTCTGCTCCCCACAGCACCCAGAAATATCTTGTGAAATGTAAATCCGAACACCTCACTCCTCTGTCCACTCCCTTTCCTAGCTCCCTGCCCCTCAGTAAGGGCCAGGCTCAGTGCTCCCTGCAGGGCCTGCGTGAGGCTGACCACACTCTTGACTTCTCTCCTGCTGCCTTTGGTGTGGTCCCTGCCGCGCTTTATTGGCTGTTCCTTGCTGTGCAGATAAGCTCCCGTCTCACCACCTTGCACTTGCTCTTCACCCGCAGATCTGGTATCTGAAGCTGCTGCATGAAATAACTAACGAGTAGATACCGTGCACAAGGCTGGGGGCAGCCTCCTGCCTGCACTGGACATCCTTTCCTCCTCTGGGGTGTAACTGTAGCGAAGGTTCACAGACTGTCCCGGATGTTGAGAGGCTCCCGTTCTCTGCTCCTCTGGCCCTTTTTCTCTACAGCATTTAATACCATCAGACATACCGAATGGTGTTTGTGTATTTTTTATTATCTTCCCCAACTGAAGTGACCATTTCATGATGACAGGGACTTTGGATATTTTTGATCACTGCTGTATCCCATGCTTAGTCCTGAGTAGGTGCTCAGTCATTATTTGTTCACTAATTAATGATTAAAGTACTTTGTTAGTTTCTATAATCTTTAAATATCTGTAGAATATGTTTGATTTAGACTCTAAGGTAGGCTAAGAAATACTTGGTTGACTGCTGGCATCATAGCTCTGGTTTTTTGGCCAAGCAAGATAGTATATCATAGAGAGTATTTTTATACCAATCTTGACTTCTCTTAGTTTTTACTTACTCTCATGAACTTAAAAGCAAGTATTTTAAGATAATAAAATTGGGAAAAGAAAGTGTAAGCATGTTTTCTTCACCCCATGATAGCTTATTTTATTTATCTCCTAGGTCTCCTTATTACTTTTAACAGAGAATCTCATGTGTGTGTGTGTGTGTGTGTGTGTGTGTATGTGTGTGTGTGTGTGTGTATATATATATATGGTCAACCAGTGTCTATATATGTGTGTATGTGTAGATATAGATAGATATATCTATCTATATATGTTCTTCCAAAGTAGATTTTTAGTCAACCAGTGTCTATATATGTGTGTGTATGTGTAGATATAGATAGATATATCTATCTATATATGTTCTTCCAAAGTAGATTTTTAATTCCTTTACTACCTCTGTTCATGATAGCTCTAAGAACCACCGGGAAGCCAGCAGAACCCCTTCCATCCAGGCAGGGATGCGTCTCTCCTCTCCTGCCCTGTCCACCTTCCTGCTCTCTCAGGGGACACTGTGCAGTTGTACACACAGCCGCAGCACGGAGAGTCTTCCCGGGGCTGCCACTCTCGAGATGGTGTTTCAGATGAGACTGGTGTTACCTGCTGGTATAGTTTAGGATATTGTTTAAACACTGCAGTTTGAAATTGAGAAGATGAAGTAGTCTCGTGGGTTTTATTTTCTGAATAAAATTGGTGGTCTGAATTTAGAATGTGATAAGTGGTAATGTCACCTTAAAACTAATTGTGTCTGTCTGTTTTTTAGGAGATCATGAATCAGGCAGATAAAAATCAACCAGAAGTCCCACCCTACCTTGGTGATGAACCACCGGAAGGTAAATACACATCTATAACATCAAGTGTGAGAGGAATTTTCCAGTGAATTAAAGCTCTGATTGTTTTTGTTAACTGTAAAGAATTGTAGCCTGTTTTCCTGCTGAGTGAATACATCCCCCAAATAAACATTTTTAGCCTGTAATAAAGACGCACAGGTAATGGTGAGTATAGAGACGCAACTTAATTTTATTATATAAGTTTTTTTCTGACTGCCCTCTATTTTTAGATCATTTCACAGGCCAGAACACCCTTTCATCTGTAAAGGTACAGGTAGGTACAGAGAGAGGATGGATTGTGTTTACTTTAGATGTCTTGCGTACCAGAAATCACTTAGCACAGGCAGCACTTGAGATGTTAAACGGCTCCTCATTGCACTGTGATGGTAGCTCTCTCCTAATACACGGTCTTGGGGTCTGCATAATTTGGCTTTCTAAATCACAATTCTTTTTTAGTTTGAAAATTGTGACATCATGAATCATTTTACTTCTAAAAGCTTTGGAAACATTAATTGCCCCTACTCCAGTCCTGATTCCATACAAAAAGTGACTGTAGACACCTTTTATTTATGGTTTTAGTTTAGTGATAGCAAACCTTTTAGAGCTTTCAGTGATACAATAGCCCACTGTGACATGGCCACAGGTTCGCCACCAGTGGTATAGACTGATATTAAATGTAATGTAAATAATTATAGAACTAACAGTGGTCTCCTTAAGAGAACTGCATACAGGCTGCCAGAAGTACTGACCCTGGGCATTGTGTTTTCTTCCCAGTTCTGTTACCCACTGTCTAAATTTTCTTTATATATTGCAATGTAAGCAGATGAAATTGCTAGGAAAACACCACAATGAAAAGCATCACTTAGGCCTATAAGAAGTTGACTGGGTTTAATTTAGTTTATTTGATAGAGTAGCCTAGAAAATTATTAGTTCATCTCTTTTCCTTGCCTCATTTTTAGGATTAAAAACATAGTGTTTTGAAAAGAAGAGCTAGGTCTCGGTGTGGATAAACAGTTTGTGGGAAAGTAGTAAGAAAGAGATAAACAGGCACCCAGGACTGTCAGGAATGTCTTCATGTGCCCCCTGCTTAAAAAGCAGAATTTATGTGGTGATAATTAAGAATGCTTTGTAATGAAAGAGATAACTTTTAATATTTGTCTCATTTGGTTATGAAAAATCATTTGTACTCATTAAATGCACATGCACCAGATTTAGCAGAGCAAGACAGTTTTGCAAATGAGGTCTCTGGCATTTGGCTGGTCATCTGCAGCCCTCAAATCAGAGCTTTGCTTCTTTTCTCATTTTTTTGACCTTAAACACAAAAGTTACTAGTTATGGATTCTTTTCCATCGTAAGTATGACATATCCATATACTTGTCTTTCAGCTATTTAAAATTTTATGTTAATTTTCTTGTAAGTGTTTTTTGGTGCTGGGGATTGAACTGGGGATGTTGCATGTGCTAGGCAAGTAAGCTCTGTCACCGAGCTACATCCTGAGCCCCATTGCTGAGTTTTACTGAAAGCGACTGATTAATGTTGTAAAAAATGGCCGGGTGTGGTGGCGTACACCTGTAATCCCAGCACTCGGGTGGCTGAGGCAGGAGGATCACTGTGAGTTCGAGACCAGCCTGGGTTACATAGTGAGTTCCAGGTCAGTCTTAATTACATAGTGAGACCCTGTCTCAAAAAAATGTTCTAAAAATGTAGCCATACTCATACCTGTGCACTATTTTGATTACTCAATGAAATTTTTCCACTTATGATAGAATGTAAAAGCTCCAAACAATGAAAAAGAAAAAACTGTCTAAGGTAAATTTGGGCTTTGTGTATTAGAAAACTCGATTTCTAGAATTTTTTCTTTTTTCTACAGTAAACACTCATAGATTCCGTTACCTTCTCTCACTGCTAGGATCTGGTAGCTTGGTGGTGTCATTTGGACCTGCGTACCCAAGAACTTAGCTCTTGTATGAGATGGCATTTTGTCAGGGTGAAGATTGGATTTATAGTTAGCAAATACTTTTCCATGACGGTTCCCATGCTGTTGCTGCCGGAATTACTGTGTTCGTGTGAAGCTAGTGCAATCACAGTTGGCGAAATCTCCCCTTTAGTCATCTCAGGAATTTGAAGTTACATGTTAATTTGTGTGGTCCCATTAAAAAAAAAATTTCAAAGAAACCTAACTCATGACATAAATTTTTCTTCTGGCAGTACCTTTTCTTGGGGGTATCTGCAGAGTGTAATAAAATGGTAGATGTTTGAAGCACAGATTCCGTCTTGTAGGAAGTACTGAGGGAGTGACAGAAGTATTACCATGCCCAAGTTTATCTGCCTCATACAGGTGAATAAAATTATAGTCAGTATGACTTTACATGATGACTAGTTTAATTTTCCTGTCTTGTCACAGCATTAGCTCTTTAAATAAATTTTGAGGCACACAACTGGGCAGAGATAAAATATATTTAAGTTAGTGATTCCCAGACTTTGGTTTCAGGTAATTCTTACACTCAAAATTGAGGCCCCCGAAGAGCTTGTGTCTCTACCATATTAACAATAAAAATAGAGAAATTTTAATCTTTTATTCACTAAATAAACCTAACAGACCCATTACACTGTAACAGAATTAACTTGCTTTTGTGAGAAGTACCGCTTGGTGACTATTCTCCCTCGTCTCCAGTCAGGTGCCATATCACACCTCCGGACTGAGGAAGGGTGAGTGTGCTGCTCGGTGGGGACTGTGTTTGACTGGTGATGTTTTCTCGCATTAGGTGCCACGAAGGGCCATCCGCAGCAGCAGCCTGGCATGTTGTCCCGTGTGACTGGAGGTATCTTCAGTGTTACTAAGGGAGCCGTTGGCGCCACCCTTGGTGGTGTGGCTTGGATTGGTGGAAAGAGTTTGGAGGTGACCAAAACAGCAGTTACAACTGTGCCTTCCGTGGGAATAGGGCTGGTGAGAGGGGGCGTGTCCGCTGTGGCCGGAGGTGTCACAGCGGTGGGGTCTGCCGTTGTCAGCAAAGTGCCCTTAACGGGAAAGAAGAAAGACAAGTCTGACTAAGATAAGGAGATGCACCTGTTCTCCACAGCACTGTGACGCCAGTGGCATTGAATTTCTACGTTGTGGACTACAACCAGGTCACCTGCTTTGGACGCTTATCTTCTAAATTGCTGTGCTGAAAGTATTGATGACTGGCTGTCAGCTAAAGGGCCCAGTATCAGCACAGTGTACGGAGGCTTCTCATGCTTAAGTTCCAGCTTTTATCTGGTAAAATGTTAAACTTACTTAGTTGTAACGGGAGATATGGTATGTTTGAATATTTCTCATAAGTCTTTCAGTTTGACTAAAATGTGAAAGTTGAATTTAGTAGATGATCTTTACAGTTCCATTTGTACAGTGTGCCAGGTAACTCATGTGCCCCTTCCCAAGGGAAAACTGTACCTTTGATGTGCCTAATAGTTTCAGATGTCTTAGTTTTTTAAAACAATAGTTGTGCAGGCCAAGAGGCATTCTTTTCCTATTTAAACTGGCAAAAATAGGAATTGGAGAAGTGTAAAAGAAAAGTTAAATGGTTTGATATGTTAACCATCTTGTTAGACATGCATCCTGCTCATTTAATCATTGATGCCTTACAAAGGAAACACCTTTTCTTATACCTTCATAGTACAGTTCTTAGAATTATGTTTGTGTTCTCTTGAAGGTGGTGAAATAGGTTTTCCCTCTTAAGAATCTCAGGAGTGGGGTCCGTGGCTGAGAACAGTGCTTGTGAACGGTTAAGAGTCAGATCGTACACTCAGACCCATGTACAAGCTCACCATTAACACACCTCACAGTGCCTAAGGGATGGCTCCCAGCTGAGTTAGAAGGTTTCATGTGGAGGAGGAACAAATATTGTTTCTAAGAAGTACTTAATGCACACAGGATGTAGAGTCCTTCACACCTATTCTTTCAGTAAGATGTCTTAAATTATCAGCAGTGCGCCCTTTTAAAAATAAAAGAAACCATAAACATTTGAGGACTGACTTTCGAATGGGCTCCATAGATCACTTTCGAATGAAAATAGGTTTGCTTTTAATGATTTCTGTAGGCTTCTAAAATATGTTGTCTTCTAGACAGTCTTGTACAGTAGCTGCGCACTGTGCTGCTTTCCAGCCACCTTCAGGCCGGGAACTGGAGTTGTGATTAGTGTTTCAGCAAGCTGCCATCCAGGCGAGGCTCGTCCATTCCCAGGACCAGGACTTGGGTGGAGTTGTTTTGTGCTCAGCTTCACGAGCATGCTGACAAGTGACATATGTATTCAGCATTCCGCTTTCACCCGAGGGTTATAGCCCAGGCTTGGAGTTGTGCACATTCTCTCCCCTCCAAGGAGGAAGCAAGTGGCCTTGGCCTGCTGTGGTTCGGTCGGGACCCAGTGTGCGGAAATTCACATAGAACACTCCAACACCGAGGCGGAAAGGCTCATTTGTACACCAGTGGAGTACTGCATTAATACTGTGGATTAGCAGATGGGTAAGATGATAACCTTTGAAAGCTCTCCTGAAGACCAACAGGGACTTTGAGGATACCTCCAAAAGTTCTGGAACTTTTCTGCTTCCACAAAACTGAAAAATTCATGAAGGGGTTCAATTAAATGGGTCATTTATTTCATGTGATATATTGTTGATTTATTCTGGTCAAATGTTTTAATTATCAAAGGGCATCTTTTTCAAAGACTTCAGAAGTAATAGTTGAACACTAAATTATCTAAATAACGGTATTGGAGAACTTGTTTCCTATTTTGAAGAAATGACTGCTCTATCGCTAGTTTGTATTTCTGACTTACCTTTCTCTACTCATAGGCTCTGCTGTGCTTTGTACCCGAGTTTCTTCTAAGTATAACTTTGGTTTACTGTGTGCTTGCCTATTTATATTTTCAACTTTGCTTGTCCTTACAATTGCTTGAGGAAAAATGGCTGTAATTTCTGCTGCAGACAAGCCACCTGCTACCTTTTGTCTCAAGACTGCTTGCAGTTGGAAGGTGCGGTAGTGGAGAAGGGCAGTAGAGGCTCCTGGAATGGGTGTGGCTTCCTGTCCTGCGCCTTCCCAGTTGTGTGGCGGGTACAATGGACGGCCTTGCTTCCAGAGCCTGAGGCGGACACCTGGAGGCGGCTGTGGCTCACTGCTTCCTGAGTGGGTTTCTGTCCCACGAGGCTGTGCCTGGGCCTGATCCAATGATGGTGACATTACAAATCTGTACTAGTGAGAGATGTTAGGGGAAACGATTGAATGCTTTTTCTGTGTTAAAGGGATGGGTAAAAAACACATGAATTGTTAATAAAGCACTATGATCTGCAAAAAATGGAACGTTTTCTAAAGATCTGAAGAAAAAAGGGAAAACTTAAAACAGGACAATCTTAGAAACTTAGTTACAGAGCAGTTCCGAATATTACGGTCAGTCTTGAATTTTTGTGGTGATAATGTACAAACCTGACATCCCAGAATATGTATTTTGATGCCAACACAACAGTGAAATACAGATAGATATATTTTAAGCAACTCTAATAAAGGTTAGAAATGCAGAATCCTAGGTTTTACTTCCCGTGGCTCTGACATCTGCTTCCAAAGGCCCAGCCCCGCTCGGCCCAGACCTGGGCGGAGTGCGGTGATGTTGGCGGCCCGGCTCCTCTTCGTGCTCGGCCCAGATGGGCCCGGGGCGGCCGGGCGATCGACGCCTCCAGCGGGCTCCTGCCTGGCAGCGCACGGCCTCGAGGCAGAAACGACGCTGGGACCAGAGCGGCTTTTCCCTCTTGGGCTGAGCTGGTCTTGGGTTTTGGGACTGTTTCGCGGGGCGCTGTTCGGTTACAGTTGGAATTACTGGGCTGGAACCCGGGTGCGAGTTACTCTGACTGGCCCGGCCTGCTCGCTGCTGCTCTGCTTAGCGGAGGCGTCGGGGAGGGCAGAGCGACTCCGTTCCCGGGGGCAATCGGGGTGGCGCGGACAACCGGTCCGCAGCCCTGCTCCGCTTTTCCCATCCAACTGCTTGCAGTTGGAAGGTGCGGTAGTGGAGAAGGGCAGTAGAGGCTCCTGGAATGGGTGTGGCTTCCTGTCCTGCGCCTTCCCAGTTGTGTGGCGGGTACAATGGACGGCCTTGCTTCCAGAGCCTGAGGCGGACACCTGGAGGCGGCTGTGGCTCACTGCTTCCTGAGTGGGTTTCTGTCCCACGAGGCTGTGCCTGGGCCTGATCCAATGATGGTGACATTACAAATCTGTACTAGTGAGAGATGTTAGGGGAAACGATTGAATGCTTTTTCTGTGTTAAAGGGATGGGTAAAAAACACATGAATTGTTAATAAAGCACTATGATCTGCAAAAAATGGAACGTTTTCTAAAGATCTGAAGAAAAAAGGGAAAACTTAAAACAGGACAATCTTAGAAACTTAGTTACAGAGCAGTTCCGAATATTACGGTCAGTCTTGAATTTTTGTGGTGATAATGTACAAACCTGACATCCCAGAATATGTATTTTGATGCCAACACAACAGTGAAATACAGATAGATATATTTTAAGCAACTCTAATAAAGGTTAGAAATGCAGAATCCTAGGTTTTACTTCCCGTGGCTCTGACATCTGCTTCCAAAGGCCCAGCCCCGCTCGGCCCAGACCTGGGCGGAGTGCGGTGATGTTGGCGGCCCGGCTCCTCTTCGTGCTCGGCCCAGATGGGCCCGGGGCGGCCGGGCGATCGACGCCTCCAGCGGGCTCCTGCCTGGCAGCGCACGGCCTCGAGGCAGAAACGACGCTGGGACCAGAGCGGCTTTTCCCTCTTGGGCTGAGCTGGTCTTGGGTTTTGGGACTGTTTCGCGGGGCGCTGTTCGGTTACAGTTGGAATTACTGGGCTGGAACCCGGGTGCGAGTTACTCTGACTGGCCCGGCCTGCTCGCTGCTGCTCTGCTTAGCGGAGGCGTCGGGGAGGGCAGAGCGACTCCGTTCCCGGGGGCAATCGGGGGGGCGCGGAGGTCGGGGAGGGCAGAGCGACTCCGTTCCCGGGGGCAATCGGGGTGGCGCGGACAACCGGTCCGCAGCCCTGCTCCGCTTTTCCCATCCTGAGCGACGTAAGCGACACTCCGGCCCCTGTGCCGCGCTCTCCACGTTATTCAGACAGGAGCTGCGCGGTCTCCGCCTCGCTCTAGATGTCCTGCACAGCAAAATCGGCCCCAAAGCACCGCAGCCCACGCCTCCCTCCAGGGGCCCGGCGGCCGAGAGCGCACTGAGCAGACAAGCGACCACACCAGGCCACGCTCTGGTCCCGCTCCGGAGACGACTTCGGCGCCTGCCTGGCCTTGGGCTGACCCCAAACTTCCTGGCTGCTCCTTCTCTTTTCTCCTCCTGTCCTGCTGGCGATGGAACCCGACCATGTGCGTGCGACAAGGGCTCTGCCCCGGAGCTCCAGGCCCGGCCTCTGTCCTTGTACCCCACAGACATCCCCCAGCGGCACCCTAACTAAACAGGTTTGGCGAGCAAGGTTACTGCATCTGCCGAAACCAACGATGGGGGTTTGCCCTGCATTCTTCACCATTTTTTTATTATACTTCAAAGGCTGTGCAAACCCAGGGCATGGATGTTCGGTGTCAGGCAATTGTTTCACTGTGTATTTGTTAGAAAGGTCAATTTCACTGCCAAAAGCGAGCCAGTCCTTATCAGGGTAATGTTTATCTTGGAACAAGTAAGAATGGAAACTTGGAAACTACCCCTGCACTGGCACCATCGCACCTTCTGTGTAGGCAGACCAGCATTTTCAGAAAGCTTTCTAGAAAGCTGCAGTTACTGAAAATGTATTATGAATTGATAATTTCAGATTTAAAAATTTTAGTTCTTTTGAGAACAGGGTCTTGCTTTGTAGCTCAGGCTGTCCTGGAACTCACTGTGTAGCCCATGCTGGCCCCAAACTCATGGTGATCCTCTTGCCTCAGCCTCCCAAGTGCTGGAATTACAGACGTTTCATAAAAACTTCAAATCTGTTTTGCACTCATTCCAGTGTTGGCAAGACAGCAGTCCATTATGCTGGTCCCTCACTCTCCTGCTCACAAGGTTTGAACAGAACCCTTTCAGATCTTAATAAAGCTGGACTGTGCCACAGGGCAGCGGGGGTCCTGCCAAGCAATTCCTCCTCCATAGAGGAAAGTGATGAATGTGGGTCCGTGTCCCCCAGGGCAGGGCAGCTGATGCCAGTTTTACCAAACTGACCCCAGAAGCAGGCTATTATTTTTGGATAATACTTGATTATCCCAGATGTTTATCCCCACATCAAAGTTGTTTTCTTAAGTGTACCAGAAGTTGCAAATGTTTCACTTAAGGCTAAGCTGCACATTGAGACCTCAGAGGGGTGGGTTCAGGGCGGTGGTGAGGAAGACTGGTCTGCACCCGAGACAAGTGCTGTGTGAATGGAGATGTCCCTGTAGCCGGCAGTACGTCCTAGAAAGTTTTCACTTATAAAATATCACACAGGTGCCCCAGTGTGCTAGCCCATACCCATAAATTTTAGGAGTAATACTTAAGGGTAAAGTTACCAACTTTATTTAAAATAAATGTGATTTAAAAACCAGGCATGAAGCAGAGATTGTGTCAAAGCAATTTCAGACACAACTCAGAAGCTAAGGAGGCCCTTAAAATAACGGTGACGCTAAGCGGCCCGAAGTGCACGGTCTCCAAAAAGTTGCACTCGACTGCTGGACGTGAGGGCCGTCAGTTACTCCTCAACATTTAATGGTGCCACAGGGTTAAATAAAGGTCTTTCTCTTTTGGCTTGAATTTTGCCCAAGTTAGCCTCAAACTCCTTTTTCGTTCCATTTAGATCTGCTAGATGTCCATCCTTTATTCTGTAGCCTAAGAGATTTAGTTTCCTTATTCTGTACTGCACTATTTGTGGTGTTAATTCAAGAACCATGGGCGTCTCTCTTATCTGAGCTATGGAAATCCCTTCTTTCACTAACCCCTGGATACGTTCTTCTAAAACTGGAACAGAGTAATACAAAAGAGCAGGGCATTTCAGAACTAACTGCTTCAGGTCAGGATCTGTGCATTCCAAAGCATTTTGTGCGAAGGAAATGCTGTTCTGTATATCTCTTGGGCAAAGATGAAAAAGGGACCCTTTGAGTGTGGACAGAAGTTGAAGCGTTTCCAAGTCCGTGAAACCCTGCTCCTGGAGAAATTCTAGTGTTTCCCTCACAGCCGCCGGAGAGTTGAACAAAATAAATGGATTCTGGCTTAGTAATTTCAGCAGCCAGACTCTCATGTTGGCCTCAGACCCGCCTCTGCTCAGGAAACTCTCCTGGAGAGCCCGGGCCATTTGTTTGTTGTTCTCCACAGGGTTATGGAAAATGCTGGGGGCAGTTGTCAGAAACCTGCTGATGACCAGGTTCCGGAGCCCCAGCTCCTGGAAGAACTGAACATTCAGCCTGAGGTTCTCCTGGTCCCCGATGGTGAAGAAGGCCTTGGGACACCGCTCTATCAGCGTGACCAACTCCTGCTCACTTCTGCACACCAGCTGCCACAGTTCCCTCTGTGTGGCCAGCGCAGCGGGGCTGCAGACCATGGCTTCGGGGCAGCGTTCCAGGATGCTGGCCACCACGGCCGCGTCGGCACCCAGCTGTCGCAGGACACTCACCACCTCTTCCACATAGGTCTCTTCCTCCAGAAGCACCCATCCTTTGAATCGACGGATTTTTCTGATGTCAACGGCAAGCTCGCAGAGCTTTTCTACGGTTCTCTTGTTTTCCTTCTCAGCCTGGCTTCTGGTTGTGAGGGCGCAGCGCGCTAACGGAGGTGCCCGTGTGGGTGCCCACCGCGCCGCCCTGCGGGAACACAGCCTGCGCG